AGGGAATGCAAAAGAAAAAAAATTCCCCATGTCCCCTGGGGGGCTCCGTAATGATCTGCTTTTTGGAGTAAGAAATTATTCCAAGAGATTTTAGTTAAAGTTCAACTTAAAACATTGCCTCAGTCAGTGACTATTCTCTTTGACCTTCCTTTACCACTAGGTAAAGTATAAACTTATATTTCAGAGGAGCTGTGTTATGAATGAATATGTTAAATTAGTAATAGTTAGAAATTGTCAAGTAAATTGTTGCATGAATTTAACGTTTTGTGTCCTAATAATTGAATTTATAACATGAAAGGACAAACCAGATGAGCAAAATGATCTGAAAAGTTAGAATTTATATTTTATCTCGGTTGAGTTACCACACTTAAACAACAGGCTAAATTTAACTTATTTATGGGTGAAATAAATCAGATTATCTCTTCATGGTGGCACCTGTTTGTGCTTTGGAGATTTCTGACAGGAAGTGAAAAATGGAGGACCAAAAGGATTTTCATGAGTTTGACAAGAGATAAGTGATGGCAACTCGGCATGTATTTATTATTTTGTCCAAGGGAGGAACAATGGTGAACTGGTGAGTGGTGCACCAAGCCTCATTGATGCATGTAGAAAGCGATGTTTGGCTGGTGTTGCCATACCACCAAGCAAAAATGTTTAGGAATGATGTGAGGGGAGTAATATATTGACCCGCTGACTTGGCTTCAACACTCCACTGATCTCAACCCAACTGAGCATCCAGGATGTGCAAAACAATTGTGATCAATGCAAGTGTCATCTCACAAAGTTTCAGGATTTACAGAATCTACTGCACACAACTTGGACCCAGACCTTCAATTGTACCTTTAAAGGTCTAGCGGAGTCTGTATCTCAACGTTTGCACCAAAAAGGAGAACTAATGCACTATTAGGCAGGTAGTCATAATCTTATGCCTTATTTGTTTGTTTTTTTTTTTTTTTAGCATTTTAAGCTGTTAAAGTAGCATACTTTCTGTTTAGAAGTACTAAATAAGTGTACTTGGATAAAAAAGTGTGGAAATTGTTGCATCAGTTTTCATGGTTAGACGCTTATTAGGGTGATCTCCGCCACTATGAGAGCTGAGCATGACTCGTGCTTTGGGTTTAAACTTAAGAGCCAGTAATCTTATTGACAGATCTGTTTGGACACGACAACTCGTTATCCCGGTCTAATGCTGTGTGCTGCCTCGGACCGATGGGCCTGCGTGCATGCTCTGCAGCTGAATCATAATACGGCTGGACCCACATCTGTGGTTAAAATGACAGACCCATCATGGCTACTCCGTGGCTCCGAAAATCCCCAGTTTCTAACAACAACAACAACAACACGATTGTGTAACACATGAAATGAGGACAGGACGTTAATGAAAAGCTGTATCAACATAGCCACACACGCTGCTGCGTTAAGAAATACGGTTTATGAGCAAATGAATGGGCCGCATCCCTGTTGGCATGCTGCAACAATGACATGTTTCACTGAGATAAATGGAGCAGACAGAACCAGGAATAAACACAGGCCGAAATGAGTCACCAATCTGAATTTAGTTCCGTCTGTTTTTGAACTGAGAGCTTGCGGGCCTCCTTGACATAATACTGACATTTCCTCTGAAAAAATAAAACCTTAAAATAAATAAATAAAAAAATAAAAAAATCGCAAACGCTTACCTGGACTCAGTTTCCATAATCACGGCGGACGCGCTTAACGTCGCTTCCACGCCAGTCGGCCGTAAACGTTAGTTATGAGCTAATTAAGCCCTTAATAAAACACCGAGGACGAACACAGACCGACGGTCCAACGCAGTGCCATCCTCCTGCCGTCGCTCACCCGCGAGGCAGCGCCGCGACGCACAGCTGGTCGCGAGAGCTCCGTGCACGCGACGCGGGGATCCGAGCCGCGTTAGCTGGTCGGAATGTTTCCACAGGCCACCTTTACCATAAGCATGACAGCCGTGTGATGCAGCCAACGACTCAACAGGGATGTGGTTATAACACACCGGCCCGCATCAATCACACGGTGATTCACGCAGAATGGCTGGCGTTCTGCGGCTCCGACTCAGAGAGAGGTGGGGCGCACCAATCAGAGTGCGCAAAGACGTCTGACTGACGTCTCTCTAACCAATGGCGGAGCCCATTTTGCGGGAATGCTGGAAAATTACAGAGTAAAGAGCCAATCCATGTGGAGTTTTATTCTGCGGGAAGGTGGGCTCCGCAGGTGACGCGGATTTATGTGGGTAATTCATCCAAATATCTATCTATCTATCTATCTATCTATCTATCTATCTATCTATCTATCTATCTCATATGTGATCACAACCTTTGATAAAAAAAAGTAGCTAAATAAAGAAAGGTCTTCAAATAAATAAACATCTCTGTCCCGTTCTTCTTTATAATAGACTGAACTTTTATTCTTTAATCTCGATTTAGTACTTTTGCAGTTTGAACAACAACAAAAAAAACTTGACTGCATGTTGGGTCTCTTTATTTTCTTGACCTGTTCTGCAGTCTCTTGTTAGTTAATCATTACACCTGTTTTGCATTAAGACTTTCCGTCTTTGTGCAGTTTCTGCTTCCCTGTTCTGATCTTTGTGCCTGGGAACATTTCCTTCTCTTAAACTTAAACCCATAATTTTTACTTTACCTGCTTTGCAACAACTTTATACTTTAATCCTTTTCCCTTGTTACTGATTAAATGCTAATGCCCAGTATAATGACTGCCTGCTGCTTGATCACAGACAGCTACTTTTTTATTTTTATTTTGTTTATAAGTTCATTTCATAAGCTTCCTACACTAATGCCAATATTGCATTGCCACCAAAGGGACGAACTTGATACTGCATTTTCTCATGCTTACATCCATATGGAGGGGTCTGTTGGTTAGGGTTTTTAAAATTTTGTTTTATAATATTACAACACATTTATGTAGATTTAGTGTGAAAGTTCAACACCAAGTCATAATTGGCAAGTGGAATAAAATGAATTAACAATTGTCTAATTTTTCTTTACTTTAAAATTTAAAAGTGTGCCATTCATATTTCCCCTTAACCCTGATTCTCAAAAATGAAATGCAAAGGTTTATAGCTTTATTTGTGATATTTGAAAAATTATGTATTGTATAATGCAGAAAAAATTTAGGTGACAAAAAAATCTCAATATTCTTTTTGTCCCATTCACATTATCTCTGAAACAATTATCTGTGATGCTTTTATACCTGGTGGAATCTCCAGAGTGTTAGCTTTATTTTGATACTGAGAATATATAAATATAGTTTGTAATTTCTGAAAAAAAATTCAACTAGCTTTGGGCATGGTATCAAGCAAAGAATAAACAAAACTTACCAAAATGGCGCTTTGTACAGAAAACTTTACCAGCTGTGGAAAGTGCTGCTGTGCTAAGCGTGTAAATAGTTCGCAGTCCTCCATACTATAGCGCCCTCTATCGACTCTATTCCGAATTTCGGAGGTGTTCGCGAACGCAGCATCTTCGTGTGTCCAGTCTGCTCTCCGTGTGAATAGCCGTTAGCTGGTAGGGTAGTTGACGCTAAATAACAGCAGCGGAGGACAGACTCAAGGTGACGACACACTTTGTTTTCACTTTTCATAACGCATTTGTGAACGTGTAATTGTGTGTAAACTCCAGCCTGCAAAGGAATATTTAAATCATTTTCCAGTTGCACTGGAGACGCTTCAGATGTAACATTTGCTTTGCTAACTGACGTGTTTGGCGCATCAATATCAGACCGTTGTAAATCGGGGTAACCGTTTGTGTTTAGGCGAAGTTGTGGTGAGGAGTTTTATTTCTAAAACATGTCGAATTGAAATCGATCTTGTATGGCTGGGAAGTGAAATATTAGAAGCTGATATCCCATGCACAATGCTCGTCTCTGCTGAGCATGCTAACCAGTTTGTATGAATGAAGGAGAAAGACTGCATTGTTTTTGTATGTGTCCGTTAGCTCAGGTCAGCGCGTCCAACAGTCTACAATGCTTAAGCCCGGCATAGAGTAAAATACATAAAAGTCAAAACAACTGGTTAATTGTGAACAAACAGAGAGCATTCTCTTTCAATATTTATTTATTTATCTTTGGTAAGCCAGGGCCTGCTAACGTTAGCCAAGCTAACTTGCAACCAACATAACACTGAAACTTAGGATTTAGCTATAACGGTATCAAAATGCATCATCAAACACCCTCTAATGTAAGTCATACGGCGAACAGGCATAGCATTGTGTTACGTTGCTGGTCAAACAGTGCCGACCCGTTGTGGCTTTGCCTTCATTAGACCCATTGGGGCAACCAGGACGCCAATATTTTAACACCAGATCCTTTTTAATGTTCTGTTTTTGAAGTAGGGCCTACCTGGGTTGGACTGTTTCCCGCACATCGAATAGATGTTCAGTCGGTTTGAGATCTGGGGAATTTTGTGGGGGAAATCAACACTTGAAACCAATCCTGAAATACCTTTGTTTGTGACAGAGAGCATTAACCGGCAAAGAAAATCCATAGCCATCAAAGGAAAACTCTTTCTCCACAGATCGATCTGCAGCGATGCAACATCATACAGGACAAAATGCAATGCACTGTGTAACCAGACACCCTTTACTTCAGAAAGGCATTAACTTTCTCAGAAACTTGTTCTGCAGTAGTTCATCTGGACGTTCACTCTCTGTGTGGGTCAGTGGACATTAGTTACCCATGACCTTATTGTCAATTCACAGCTGTTCCTTCCTAGGACCACTTATAGACCCCAACAGACCAATAACGCCACACAAAGGCTGCAGTTTTGAAGACGCTGAAGGTGATACAGTTCCTAAAATGCATCACCTTTTTTTTTCTGAATCTAATGAATTAATTTAGTCAATAACTTAACTCTGTGATTAATATATCTCATCCAGGTCCCAGATGAAAAGATATTATTCACTTTACCTGTTAGTAATCTTATACCTCATTGTTTTATACTCTACATGGTAAAAACAATTTACAAAGTTTACAGCTGATTTAGATCTACAGCCACATTAGCAGCAGTAACATCTCTCACACTGCCGTAGGTAAAACTTAGATTTCTCTTATTGAAGATACTCGAAGTTTGTTGAGGTTTGACAGAACTTGTATAAGCTTTGTTTGAGTGAACATCAATTGTTGCATTTAAATCATCTAGGGTATAAAGTTTGGTTTGAGCCTTTTCTTTCCCCTAGGGTTTGCTCTCTGCTTTGGATCGTGACTTCAGCTGTTGAACAGATGGCATCGCCAGATTTCACTCACTGGTCCACAGTGAAGTCCACAGCTGACTCAGTGACTGTTTGTTTCTGCTTTTCATGGCTTCACAAAAAGCAGAAATCGTCACCCCTCCACCTCTGTGTTTGATAGTTGGTTTTAGGTTGTAGATTTTTAGATTGGTTTTCTCCAAACATGGTGTCAGGTTTTATGTCGAAACATCTAATTATTCATTGTTTATTGTTCAAGATGCTTTGTTGTTAATTCAGAATCCATATATGCTGCTGTGGCCTTTTTTTAAAATTATTATTATTAAGAAAAGGCAAAGCTTCCACATTTTCTACATGTAGTCATTAACTTCACAGGTTTCAGTTTGCATATTTAATATTAGATTTAGATGGTTTCTTGGTTTCTACAGGTAATTGTGAGTTAAGTTGACGGGATGCCCATTTCATGAGATTCCTTGAGAGTTTCTTCTTGTGAACAATTTGTGTAACTAAAAAACACAAACACGTGTGTTTATTTTTCCCCTCCTCCCCCCGATTGTGATCCAGATGGCAGAGAATGACGTTGATAGTGAACTTCTGGACTACGAGGAGGACGACGAGCCCCAGGGACTCCCAGAAAGCGGCACCCCTGCCAACAAGAAGGAGGTGAAAGGTTCCTATGTGTCCATCCACAGCTCGGGCTTCAGAGACTTCCTCCTCAAACCAGAGCTGCTCCGTGCCATAGTTGACTGCGGTTTTGAGCATCCTTCAGAAGGTAACTCGCATTCAGAACCTCATATAAAAGTTACCGAATAAATTAATTGTAAATATTGGTTATGATTTTGATTCATAAGGGCATTTCGATTGCAGCTATTTAGATCTTCATTTGATCTATATGATGTCTGAAGATCGTTCTTATTATTAATTATTTTCCTTTTTTTTTAATTTGTAGTTCAACATGAGTGCATTCCTCAAGCCATCCTTGGCATGGATATCCTCTGCCAGGCAAAGTCTGGTATGGGAAAGACGGCTGTGTTTGTGTTGGCCACATTGCAGCAGATTGAACCTGTGGATGGCCAGGTGAGTCGATCATTAAGAGACTCTCAACCCTTGAAGCACCTTTTGTTTCCCAAGCTGGTGTTTCTGCTTATTGGTTTTCTAGATGATCAATATTTTAGTTGGCTTAAAAGTTAATTAAATTAAACGTTGGCCAAAAAGACAAATGTATTTTCATAGCACATTTCAGCAACAAGGCAGTTCAAAGTACTATACATGACAGAAAGGGCATAAAAACATAGAAAAGAAAAAAATAAAATAAAATGAAAGACTGGAGCGATGGGTGACGGTATGGGTGGACTGTTTGCTGCATGTTTTCCACTTTTCTCTCCAGTCCCATGATTATAATTCAATCCCCAAGAGCCTGCAAAAACTGGCTCTATATCTATGTCTAAACCTATGTCTATATCTAAGTTGTTGAAAAGATTTGATGCAGTAAAAGGGGGAAAAAAATAAAACAAAATATTGAATTTTTATTACACTTTGATAAGAGTAAGTACATTTTGGGACTTGGAGATAAATAGTATTGCTTTTTTCTTTCAGCTCTAATTTCTCCAAAAAATAATAATCAATGTTGTTGTTAATTTTTGAACTAATCAAGGTTTTAAATCTTCCAAATTACTGTTTAGTTTTGGAAAATGTTGTATATTTTGTAGTTTTCCCATCACAAAATCTTTGTTCTTTTGGACAAAAAGGGCATAAAAATATTCAAAAGGAAAAAAAAAAAAAAACTTAAAAAATTTCATATTTCTTGTCAAGTCTGAAGTTTTTGAAAAGATGTGATGCAGTGATGCAATGATCTTCTAGGTAATGTTAACAAGCTCCTCTTACAAAACCAGCTCTTACAAATGGCCTCAGGTTTTAATAGAAATATACAGAACCGATGGCTCTAACGCGACGATTCTCATTTTGTTTGTACCAGGTCTCTGTTCTTGTGATGTGCCACATACGAGAATTGGCCTTCCAGATTAGCAAAGAGTACGAGCGCTTCTCCAAGTACATGCCCAACGTCAAAGTGTCTGTGTTCTTTGGCGGCCTGGCCATCAAGAAGGACGAGGACGTCCTGAAGAAGAACTGCCCTCACATCGTTGTAGGAACTCCAGGCCGCACGCTGGCCCTCATTCGAAACAAGACTCTGAGCGTGAAGAACATCAAACACTTTGTGCTCGACGAGTGCGACAAGATGCTGGAGCAGCTGGGTGAGTTGGAGGACAGTCAACTGGACGCGAAACAAAGAAGACAAATGATACCGACGTGTCGTGATCGTTCACGGTTTAGTTACTTGTGTGCATGAAGAATCTTAGAAAATGGCAATGTTAAATACTTTTTGGGTGTTTTTGTCCTTCAGACATGAGGCGTGATGTGCAGGAGATCTTCAGACTGACACCTCATGAGAAACAAGTTATGATGTTCAGCGCAACACTAAGCAAGGAGATCCGCCCCGTCTGCCGCAAGTTCATGCAGGATGTGAGTTTTTACAGATTCATGTTTGGATGAGGCAAGTTGGCATGATGAGGCAACCCTGGTAAAAATGTGTAGATCCTCTTAGCGGTCTTATTTTTACCTCATCCCATAGATCTACCGTAGGATTTAGGCGTGTTGGTTTGTTATTTATTTGCTTTGGTGATCAATATTATTATAAAATATAATAACCAACAGTTGTTGCACTCTAAATAATCTATTGTAATATGAATTTCGCACACACTGATATTGTGATGATGATACATTTGCAATATATTCTGCTGCCCTAATAAGAAACATGGTATTTTAACTTGCCAAAAAGTCAAAATCACTTGCATAAAACCTGTACCACAAAGGAAAATGTGCATAACTAGGACAAAGTGTACAAAAACAAAATTTGAACTACAATTTGTAGCTCTGTTTTGTTTAGAAATGGCCAACAATAAAACAGTCTGAAAGTTGTTGATTTAAATTTAATGTTTGAGAATCTATGAAACAAATTTCCACAGAAAGTGAACCTCCTCAGCAGTTCTGGCTCAGGTAGCGGCCACATGGCTGCGCTGATGTGCAGGAGAACAGACACAGAGAGCAACCAGGAAGGGCTTTGAGCTTCTCTCTTTGTGCTTTACATTTCTAAAATAACTCATAAATCTGTCGATGCAGCTAATTTTACTCATTTGTTCCCTTCTTTCGCAGCCCATGGAAGTATTTGTGGACGACGAGACTAAACTGACACTGCATGGCTTACAGCAGTATTACTGCAAGCTGAAGGACAGCGAGAAGAACAGGAAGCTGTTTGACCTCCTCGATGTGCTCGAGTTCAACCAGGTACACCTGATGCCTCTTCCACCCCTCTTGATTTTACTTTTATCTTAATAAATGCTTAGAGCTTCACATTTTCCTGCGGCTCGTGACAGGTGGTGATCTTTGTGAAGTCTGTGAATCGTTGCGTTGCCCTGTCGCAGCTGCTGGTGGAGCAGAACTTCCCCGCCATAGCAATCCACCGGGGGATGGGACAGGAGGAGAGGTGGGAGCTGATTTCATCCAGAAGCAGAGGGTTGTCATGTGATGCATCGCTCACCTTCTATTGTTTGGGTGTTTTATGGAGATATACCAATCCAATGTTAATATCCGTGTCCCAATATTGAAAAAAATTGCAGCTCGGGTATCGGTGAAAGAGTGCCTAATTCACAAATTCAGATCTATTTAGTCTAATTCTGTGCCTTCTGCTCTGAGTGACGTCATGCCTTATTATTTATTTTGCATTATATTTAGAATTCATAATTTAATTTAATTTATTTTTACATGTTTGACCAAACGGTCAAAACCTGTTGTTTCTGTCAGTTTCAGTGTACTATTTATTTTAAATTGGCTCTTGTACTCTCTAAAGTTGTGCTGTTTTCACATAAGATTTATGTGCTATGCTGCACATAAGATTTATGTGCTATGCTGCTGCAGAATTATCAAATATATTTTTAATTTAGTACATTTATCTCTGTGTTTTAAAAAAAATGAAATGTTTTAATTTATTCCAGATATGTTTTCCTGCATCAGATCGGGATCTGCTGATGCTAACCCTCAGATATCTGCATCAGTATCGGCAGTGAAAAAAACGTATTATTGCATCCCTAGAATTCTGTTAAAAATTGTGATTATAAAATTCCTATCAGCTTTGCCTTGAACAATAAGTAGTTTTTCCTCACAGTGCTCGGATGTAAAGGAATCATTTTTTGAGGTTTCTGAAAGCTTTCCCGGCCCTCTCCAGGTTGTCCCGGTACCAGCAGTTTAAAGACTTCCAGAGGCGGATCCTGGTTGCCACTAACCTGTTCGGCCGAGGAATGGACATCGAGAGAGTCAACATAGTCTTCAACTACGACATGCCCGAGGACTCTGACACGTACCTCCACAGAGTAGGTTCAGATCTAAACGATTTGGTCTTTGGTGTGGTTTTAATTTGGGCGGATTGGTAAAAATGCGTTATTACATTTTTCTTTACATCAGGTGGCCCGTGCAGGCAGGTTTGGAACCAAAGGCCTGGCCATCACCTTTGTTTCAGACGAGACTGACGCTAAGACCCTGAATGAAGTCCAGGATCGCTTCGAGGTCAACGTAGCTGAGCTGCCAGACGAGATCGACATCTCCTCCTACAGTAAGTTTCCATGTGGCAGAGCGTGGGTTAAAGGAGCTCCTCATCCAGTATCTAAGCACATGTGCTCTGATAATCAAAACCTTACATTTTATGTTCAAACATATTGCAGTGCTTTGAAAAAGTATTCACACTTTAAACGAGCTTGTTTCTAATTTTGACACATTACAGCCACAAACTTTAATGTATATTTTTGGATTTTATGTGACACTCCAACACAAAATACTGCATAACTGAGAAGTGGGAAGAAAATGATTTTGAAAATGAGTTTCACACTTATTTTACAAGTAAAACATCTGAAAGGTGGAATGCAGTTTCCCACCAGTGAAACAATCTGGCTGAATGAATTCAAAATCGAGTTTTTGCAGCACATAGATGGAGATGGAGGCAGCATCATGCTGGGGGAGATTAGGGATTGGTGAAGTTGTTGTAAAGTATTACTGTGGCGTCTAAACACAAATGCAGGCCATAATTTAATTTTAATTTCACTGAGTTTTGTGTTTTAACATGAGAAAGTGTGGAAAATTCAATGGATGCCAGTGTTACTGCAAAGCACTCACACTTTCCAAGTCAGTAGCCTTTCACTGGAGGCAGCACTGGTGCTTAGTAAAGCAGTGATTGCTATTCAGACATTGGAATGTATGAATCTTTAGCAGTTAATTTGTTAAAAAGTCTGAATTATAAAGACATTAGACTTTTGTGTTGTAGCTTTTCATTTTCTAACGTCTCTGTTTCTGTCTTTGCAGTTGAACAGTCCAGATGAGTTTGCGGGCTGCAGCCAGTGAAGACTGTTTCTATGACTACTATTGTTGCTGTATTGTTGGCAGAAAGGAGGAAATGAAGAAAAATCCGTATTTGTTTAAATATAACCCTCCCAACATAAATGTAGTCAAGTTCAAAAGGCGTTTTTTTATTTTCAACATGTCTTTGCCGAGTGCTTGTTTTAATGTTTCCCTTGTTTAAACCATGTTTTCAAAAATATTGTTTTGGTTAAATAAATTTTTTGTAACTTACCTTTTTGGTGTTGAAGTCATCGTTAAATAATCACACATATATAAGTATTTTTAGAAGATTATGAGCAGATAATTAAACTCGCCAGCAGAAGGCAGCACTATAGTTTGGGAAAAGAAGACAAGATAAATATATATAAACAGAAAATAAATTTAATCAAACAGAAATGCAATTGTAATTGGATGAAATGGAACTTTATTCTGAACCAAATCTCTTTCTTCAGGTGAAAGAAATTTGGTTAGGATGTTCAAAACAACTCGGCAACCATCGTGAAAAAGAAAGTACTGGAAGAATAATCTCTATTGGCGCTGAAGCTAGTTTTAAATCACTGTCAACTACGAGAAAAACTCCTGCTGCAAAAGTCAATATGTCAACTTCAACTGAATTTTTAAGCCATACACATGGGCTGGAAAAGGAGACTACCTCCTAATTAACTTCACCTCAAACTGACAAGCTGAATATTTGCAAAATATCTCACAAAACTGGGTTGAATCAGATAAAACATGCTGAATGACCCTGAACTTAACCCGTCTCAGTTTATTTAAAGACATTTATGTTTGTGTTGAGTGTGAACTGACAGAAATAGACAAACTTTACTCTGTATCTTAGTTTAAAAGTATCCATCCAAATAGGAGTCTAGAGGAAAAAATATTTACGGCCGACTATTAAGAAAATAAAAGAAAAACTGCAGGAGTTTAATTTTATTCTTATAAAACAGCATATTTATCCTGACGTTATTATGACTATTTGTGTATGACTTTATCTTAATATGACTTCTCATAATTGTATTTTAAATATTTTAGTGTAGGTCTAATAATACTCGTCGTATAATATAACTGATATATTTGTGAATGAAATTTATTTATCTCACTCATTGTTGGTTCATTTCGTGCTGAATTCTTTGGAATTGAAACATTTACTTATTTAACCTGACTTCAGGTTTTCAAGTAAACCAAGTCACTATGTGCACATAGTGCCTGTTTTTTTTTTTTTTTTACAGATTTTTCCTTTCCACCTAATGCATGACATTGTAGATTTAAATACAAAACAGCCTGTTATTTTCCTTTGGTTGTCACTGAGTAGTCAGTGGGTTATAAGACGTCCAGTGATACTAAAGATTCCCTTTCACTGGCGCTACATGACGGTCAGAAATGTCCATGCCAAGTAAAGTGCTTTGTTGCTTGTGTAGAGTTTCTCCTCTGGCCGATCGAAGCGTTTCATCTTCCATAAATGAAACCTGCAATCAGCGCAGAGTGCAGAACGGCTGGGGATTTCAGGGCTCTAATTTAGGTCCCTCGTCAGGCTTAAACAAGAACAGGCGAGTGTACAATCCACTCTGGTCGCACTAAACGATGTGGGTTGCTTTCAGGTAGTGACTAATAATCCTGGCAGTGCATCTTGCCTTTTGTCTTCTCCATTTTGGAGGCAGAAGCAGAGAAGCGGCTCCTTGTCTCGGAAGGTTCCTCCTCTGAGCTGATTTTCCAAACGACAATCCTCACATCCAGGCTAATCAATAAACTTGTGTGTGTCGCCGTACATCCAGTGCTGTGGAGGCAGTGCCGCTTCGTTGAGGTGGCCACAGTCACGGCTGCATTTACACGACTGGATGAACATGGTGGGCTTCCGGAAGCGCTCGCCGTCCGGGCAGACAAAGGTCACAGGCACGGTGCGCGTACGGCGCGGCGAGCAGCAGCGGCCGTTCGTGCACACGCCGCAGTAGTTCGGTCGGTACAGACGAACGCTTTGACACTCTCCGTAGGAAAGGCGGACGGGCTCTGGGGCTTTCTGCGTCGGGGAGCAGTGCTTACCTTTCTGTGGTTTGGATAGACAGAAAATAAAAATGTGTTATTAATAGTTAAGGTCTTCGCCTTAACTAAATGTACAGTGGTCAGAGTTGTGCAGTAACCAGTTAGATTCACTTGGATAGCATTTACTTTTAGGAGTATTTTTACTGCGCTGTGATGGTTTTCTCATACTTGAGTAAGACACCCTCCAAGTAACTTCACTGAATGAAGAACAAGCTTGTTTCAGCCAAAATTTCACCAGACACACACACCTGCAGTTTTTGTTAAAGTTTCATGAGTTTCATAGTGAAAGAATTTGATTTAGATTTCTTTTCTTTTGCCTGATTCTGATATTTATATCAATTTAATCTTTAAAATACCAAAGTTTCCACATATGTCAGAGCCTAAAACTACACCTGGGAAAAGGTCTGTGGGACCACCTGAAAAAGGTTGAGTACAAACGATATCCTCAGAGATTTGGCGAGGTAGAGGGCGCAATAAGACGGAATAATGACATTTAAACTATAATTATTAGTTTAACTGTGTTCACACTGGCTGATTGCAGATTTACTGTTTTCCTGTTTAGCTTAAATGTCCCATTTAATATAGAAAAATGTTTACATCAGAATAGACTGCCTTTCAAACAAGTTATATTCACTTTTTATATCCACTGTATATGAAAAGCTTCTCTAAAATTTGTCTCTACACGCAGACATTTCTTATGACTTTTAGCATTAAGGCGTTTAACTCAGTCAAGCTGAGGAATCAACAAAGGATTAATATAGACAGATCATTTCCCTGAACTCTGAGTAAACAGACCGGACTCAGCTATGGACAGTTGCTTTGCAGGAATGCTGAGTATGATGGACTATATTTAAAAGTATCTGCCTGCTACCAAAGCACCAGTGAGTAAATCAGCACTACGCAGTTCACACTAGATCTAGTGCTACTGGGATTTTCCATGTTCCTAAACTAACAATAAATATTCAACCACAAATATTCGCTCAAGGTCGGAAAATCAAGCTTTTTCTTTCATCCTGCCCATTTTTCAAATTTTCTTTATCCGGTCTTGAGTAGAAAGAGACTTTGTTTTTGTAACCCGGTGGTTCAGCACACAGATAAGGGGAGAAAAAAAAAGATTTATTGATAAGTGTTATCAGAGCTACAGGGTTAGACTTTGTGTGATAAATAAGTACAGTTTCTTCCAAAGATATTCATACCCTTTGAACTTTACACTGTTTTGACCTGTTACAACACGAGACTTTTATGTTTTTATAGGGATTTTTAAGTGAAAGATAAACACAAAGTAGTGCATAATGATTAACTGGAAGGAAAATAATACCAGTTGAATTTTTAGTTGATAATTCTCTGAATTATGGAGAGAATCGGTGAACATTGATTTACAAATCTGGACTTTAGACAATGTTAACACGTGTACTGCGTCCACTACGGTACTCGAGGCAAACTGGAAGCAACATTTGTTGTTGCTTGTTTTAAGGTTTCTTCTTCTTCTTGCCACTGTTGAATTCTTGACTTGGTCTTAATGATGCTGTTGATTCACTAATGTTTTCTCACCTTCACAGAGGAACCTGATGCATACTGAGATTAAATTACACACATGTACACTCAGTTTGTTGGCTAAGTAACTTCTGACAGCAGTTTATTTAGAGGTATCATAAGAATTAAATTGCACATCATATTTTTCTGATATTTATTTGCGAACTCTGAACTCAAACTAAATATTTAAAGCTCTCTTTTCTATTCCTTCCTCTTTACACTTCATGTTCTATTTTTCATCTGTGTTTATAAGGAGGCCAAATGTGGAAAAGTTCAAAGTGTATGACTATGACACTATTGTCCTGATGGACCTGACGTCTCCTCCTGTTTGGGTGCAATAGGAGCTAAATGTTCCCATGAGTTGGTAGATAGCCAATGAACAACTAATAAAATATCTCCAAACAAGGCTTGCTTTCCTCAACTGAAGCTCTTTTAAACAGATTTTTTTTAAATGAGTAAAGTTTTCCAAGGAAAAAAACCGTATAAAGTGCATTCAGTGTTCATGAGCCATTTGCTTTCTCTGAATTGCCTAAACTGCTGTTGACGTCAAAGATATTTTGCTGTTGAGAGCGCTCACTTGCTCATGTTTCTGCAAATACTTTATGATAAAGATAGTTTGTAGCACAAACTATGATTAAATTTCAAACCCAAAAGATTTGACCTATTTTAGTATGAATTTAGTCATGCAGTTTGTCAACTCTGAACTCAACTATCAGCTTATTGATGTAACTTATTTCCATTATAAGCTAATTTTCAGTATTTGACCGAACGGCATCAGACCCACCTTGGCTGGGACGGTCAGACTGCGGCACGGCCGTATGGTGCAGATTCTCGTCTCCTTCTCCAGTTTGCACTGCAGGTTCTCGTTGGTGATGCGAGAGGAGATGCCCATGCCGCAGCTTCGTGAGCACTGGGACCACTCAGTGGTTTGGACTGGACATTTTTTCTCCTTCATGGCGCCCCACACTGAAGAATGAGGATGAATGTAAGAGACAAAAAAGATTATGAGAGGTTCCTGATCATTTCCTGTAGCTTTCCCTAAACACTGAATGTAAATCCTTTCTGTTACCAGGCATGTGTTTGTAGCCCTGTCGGTTTTCCCAGCCGTTTGTCTTGACATGTGTGATGCCGTCATCCAGGATCACCTCATTCTGAGCCCCTTGAGTGACTGCATGGTACCGAGGTCTGGGCAGATGCTGTTGTAAAGGAGGGATCTGTAAACAAGAGACAAGACACGTGGGCCACTTATGTTACGATCAGTGATGAGCAGTAACGTGTTACTGTAATTCGATTATGTTTTTCAAGTAACGAGTAAAGTGAGAGATTACAATTGCAAAAAAGGTGATCATTGTTGCTTCTGTGCAAGCAGACTGAGGAAACACCTAGCAAGCTGCAGAGACCGGCAGATCTGCCGCTACATCTAATTCCACCAGACAAACCTCTGATATTCCCTCTACAACAGAGTATTAGGACCATACTAAAAAAAGAAGAAATAAAAAAGTTAAATTACGAGAATAAAATTGAAAAGTATGAGAATAAAGTCATAATATTACCACTTTATTTACCTTTTGTCTTTGCTTTATTTTTGTACAACTTTATTCTAGTAATATTATGACTATTCTGGTAATTTTATTACTTTATTCTCGCATAAACATTTTAAAATGTTCTTATTGTGGGGTTAATACTCTACCCCCAGAAAATGGTTAATACTAATTCATTATTAGTCCTCTCTGCACTTCACCAGCTGTTAAAAGATGTAAATGTTATTAATTCGGAGTACAGCCAGGAGAGACTGATTTAATTTATCTTATCTTATCACTGTATTTCGAAAGGGTTGCAAACACAAAAATAATTGTATTTTATATGGTGGAATATAAAGAAATACTGTTTAACAGAAGAAATATTTTATTTTCTTAAAATATATAGTGGAATATGCAGAGAACAGATTTAAATATCCAATAGAATAGTTTAAATATTGCTGCATTTCATTCAGGTTAAACAAGTGAAACAAAAGTTTCTAAAATAGATGTTTTCATTTGATTAAATGTACATGATGGACTATGCAGAAAAACTAGTCTGAAAGGTGTATTGCTTTGCAGCATATTCAGGTCGTGCATTGTTTTATTCAAAAGTAATGAAGTAATTATTAAAGTAACTAATTACTTTTGAAAATAATTAATCAGTAAAGCAACTGGATTACTTCGTTGGAGAAGTAATCAGCAATTAGTAACTAATTACTGTTTCCAAATAACCTGACTAACACCGGTTGTGATTGTGTCTGTGTTTAGTTTGTTTTGACACAAACACACAAGCACACAAGCACACACACATGCACGCACGTACGCAAGCACGCACCTGGTGCTTAGGTGGAAGAAGCCAGGTGTCCTTGTTGCAGTCCACACTGAAGCAGCACCGTCCCGGGATCCGGACCAGTCGAGGGAAGGGGCAGGATGGTGAGGCAGCAGGCAGCTTGTTGCTGCAGAGCGACGTGCAGCCGACAGCTCCATCTATGCAGGAACACTGGTGCTTGCAGCCTGCATGGAAGATCTCTCCATTCTGGTAGATCCTGTTATTGTACTCGCATGTACGTCCCTCTGATTTTGCTGCAACACGATCATTAAAGAAAGAAAAACATTAAGTCATAACACTACAATTAAAAGCATGAGTAGAAATGATAATTTTGGTAATGATCTAAAACAGAAAAAGCTTTAGTCTGATTTAATGTTATGTTTAATGATCTGTAGATATCTGGTTTAATCTGTATTTATTTAGCACTTTTTCACCTATTATGAAATGCTTTACAAGACTAACTTGGGTAGCGATTGTATACTGCATGCTACACATGGAAAACAGATACCAAAACAAAAATTACTTCAAAATCTATTGAATAATGCCAATGAAGCAAAGCTGTCATCGAACAGGGCTAGGAACAATATCGATGTCTACAAACTCAAAACAACTTCAGTCTCAAATTCCATTCATTGTTATCTGCGGTTATTGATGAGGAAATGTTGAAAAGGTTTATAAAGTTCTCGTACAGGTGAGCGTGGTTTCTCAAAAGACTGTGCCAGATTAAACAACAACTCACAAGAATGTGGCAGGTTTGCTTCAAGTTTGGATCTTGAAGGCAATTATACCTCGCTTTTCCTTTGCTGCTTGTCAAAGACTTTCTTTTTTTACTTTCAGTATTCCTGAGAGACAGCACTGTCCTATGATGGCCCTCCCACGTGTGCAGATGATTGCACAACAAGCAATAATCAATAACAACCCACCACGACTTTGATACAGAAGTAGTTCAAACACACCTGAATCAAATGAAGGCTCATTAACAATAAATCATATTTCTTGATGACACATGATTAATTTCAATAGATAAAACATCTGACAGAATATTAAATGCTCAATGTATAGATTATTAACTGAACCACAAAGCATTCTGGGAGATGTAGGCAGAGGAAAGATTTTAGTCGCTCAACCTCCAGTTAAGCCAGGTTGGTGGAATCAACTAACTCACTCAGTCTTTGGTTACCTAGCAACTCACTCACTCTTTGGTTACCTAGCAACAACCTGTTGAGTAAATTAAGCAACTGCAGTTAAAGATTTCCCCACTGTGTCTCATTAAAAATAAACAGAAATGGTGTGGAGTAAAAGCTATGGATAAAAGAGGAAAGGTCACCCTACCAATTTGGCATTATTTCAGATATTATTGATATCAAGTGATGTGAAGTGCTTATATAGTGATACATTTTTCAGCCTTAACCCAGATAAACAATGACCTTGTTGTAATACAACAAGGCTGCCTGTGGGCAACATTTGTTTAATCAAAAGAAAATTGCCCTTATCAAGACAACTTACTAACCTTTCACCTTAACAGTGAACAGAATTACACAGAGTACTTGCTGAGAAGTAAAAATAGGAAAAAAAGGAAGTGGCAGACTCCTTGTCACCAAGAAGCAGCTATTTATAGCTCTCAGGGAAGCACAGGCCTGGTACAGATGGAAAGCGTAATATTATCCCTGAAACCCCCATCACGGCTATAAACCATTTACTACTTATTAAAATGAGTAAGGCTACATGCTGCTTCACTGCTGCACACCACTTTCACTTTGATTCTCATTCCGGGTTGTTAAAAATTGACCTGACATGACCAGGAGCGTAAAGGAGGTTTAAATCACAGTAGAGCCATTTTCCAAGTGAGACTTCCTGCTTCCTCCCTCACCTCGACAGACGCCCCAGGCCACTGTCACGTCGTTGCCATAATTGCACTCCAGCCCTTTGTGGTGGTCGCAGGGCTTCATGTGGCTGCAGTCTTCGTTAAGCTGTGCGGCGCACACCTTGCAGCAGCCGCAGCTGTCTGGCACGGCGCTCACGCCTGGAGGGCAAGCAGGGGGCTGCGCAGCGCATTCACACACAGCTGGGCAGCTAGCAGACACCTGGAGGGATCAACACGTCAAACAAAACCCACAATGCTCAGGTTTAGGAAATCCAAGCAGCTAACATGTACATATACGCCTCATGCTTCTCTAGCATTATTTATTGTTGACCTCTCAGGCCAGTGGTCAATATTACTACTTTAACAAAGGGCAGAAACCAGTTATCATGTCAGTTAATTGAATATAGTTATGATTACTTAATTAATCGGATATAAACATTGACAGTCTGCAGCTTTCTCATTTAACCATGTAAGCCTTTTTAATACAATATTAGAAATACAAATGAGCAAATAACAACATACTACTGGTACTTTAATGTCATTCTCTGTGGAAATTCAATGCAAATATTGCAGAAAAAAAATTAAAACTGATAAAAACCTGCATTTGTTATTATATCAATATTTAAAACTTTAGCTGGTTCTTTTTGTTTTTTAGCTAAATCTATTAAAAGTCATTGTGGAAGGTTCAGAGAGCCACTTTCGGCTGCAGACCCGACACTTTTCATGTTCAGATGGTTGATTGAGCAGCGCTCTGATGGATGTTCAAAGCTTAAAGTATTTTTAATAACCTAACCCGGCTTTAACATTTGTTCCTTAACCTTAGAGGTTTGTTCCCTAACAAACCTCTAAGACCTTCATAAAACACCTGGACTTTAAATTACACACAGGTGCCCTGTTTCCACTGAATACGTAGTTTCAGAAGGCAATTAATTTCATTAGATTTAATTAATGGGTGTCAACATGAAAGGGACTAAATATAAATGCACAGCAGATTTTTCAGATTTTTAAGTTGTAAAAAAAAAACTTGAATTCTTTCCTTTCACTTCACAAGTCATGATCATATAAAAGCACCATTAAGTTTATTATAAGGTGGCAAAATGTGAAAAAGTTTGTACTTTTGCACTGTCTCCCCTCACATCAGCTCTTGTTTACTGATAAAATCTTGTTCCCTGTGCAACAAGCTGTCATCCAGCCATTTCTCTGCATGTTGATAACCTCATAGCAAAGAGATACTTTGTGTTGGTTGGTCAAATAAAATCCCATTAAAAAGTTGAACCATGACAAAATCTAATAAAAGTTCAAGAGGTGTTGAAACTTTAACAAGGCACTGTTAGGCTTATTAAACCTCAATTAAATGGTTAAACAATATTCACTGGTTACATTTCTGATGTCACTAAGCCGCCTGCCTGCACCCACTTAGCATTGCTTAGTTAATGTTTGTGGTTTTTTATAGTTCTTACAAATTTTCTTCTTTTAAAACAACCTGCTGCTCTGGAGCTGAAGTGTCTTTGGATCTTCCACAACTCATGACTAACTTTGGTTAAAAATTATAAAGAATGAAAAGTTTTTAAATATAGGTATCATAAGAAATATAGTTATTTTTAACAGTTTCTCTTTTTTCAATGGAGTACTTCATTTTCACAGCTAAACAATTAAATTAAAACTCAAAGAGAAATTACTCAAAGTACCAGCAATATTTTTCAGATTTTTTTCGTTTGTTTGGCTGGAAGATGTATTTTTTTTAAACATAACTTTCCACAAGTATAATTTTTTGAGAAAATGCATCCATCCTCTTTTTTTAAAATGTTATTTACAAAAGTGTTATGTTTTCCTTTATAAAGGCTAAAAATAATAAAATTAAATTAAATAGTGTTTCTTTTAAAAAGACAATGAATTTGTTTTTAATGTGCTACCCAAAGGTCTCCATCTGGCCACTCCATATATTTTTTCTGGTGGAAAAGAAAAACGTTATGTGCATTAAGCATGTTCACCACAAAATTTAGTGTGGTCATAATGTATATTTTTGCTTAAATCAATGTATAAAACAGCATAATTCTAATGATTTGGTAATTAGTAGTAACCGTTGCTTTTCTGTTTTCTGTTATCAAACTTAGTTTAGATTTTTGTGCAAATACAGATGCATTAAAACTGCTATTTAGTTTCTTAAGTCAACACATCTAAATCAACTTCACATATATTTTATTTTATTTATTTTTGCAGAATGGGGTGGCAGAATGGTGCCCCAATGCCCAGGGTGACAATTCCTGGAAGACTCGCCCCTGAATGCGCTCGATAAAGTCCCATACAGACAATTAACTTGACTCATGGTTTAAACGCAGGAGCCAACATGTTTCCATTTGTAAAAACCTGGAACATGAGTCGGCACCGTTATTACTAGAAATGACTAACTTATCTTCTTGTACATTTTAGAACAACAGAAAAATTACCAAAATCATACCAACACAAGAAAAGTCTATTTCACCCAAGAATGTTTCTGTTAACACCACTGACAACAAACTGCACGCAATTATGTATTTGTATTTACAGTAAGCTCATATAAATCCGCTATCGAGCTGAATGATAAACATCTTACCTGTGTCATGGCGACTGCTGTTATTAGAGTCACGTAGGTCAGAAACGTCATTATTAGTTTGGAAAACGTCTTAAAATAGAGATACACGTGAAATAAAAACAACCTCCGGTATCTTATAACTTCTTTCTCTCCGTGCGTTTCCTTTTCTCCTGGCTTCAGACCGTCAACCTCCCGTTTTATACTGACAGTGGGCGTGGTTTCCCCCACGCGGCTCGCTTTCTGATAGGTCGGTGGGCGGGGCTTGTGATCAATGCAGCCATTCATGAAACCTCCAGAGCTGCTAGGTATTTTCTTCATGAGTTAAAAATTAAAACGTAGCGGTCGCTTTCAAGTCACATTCCTGCTTATGCGGCCTCCACCCTTCAGAGTAAATATACTCATTCTGCAAGGCCAGACAAGGTAACATTAAGGAGGACCTCCACCTCTGAGAGGGGAGAGCAAGGAGGAGAACATCTGCTCCGTTTTCCCTTGACAAATTTCATGCCAGAGCAGAAAGCTTAAGTGGAGTGTATTCAATAATAGCAGCAGTGAGGATACTCTTTGTGCTCTGCATGGTGAGAGAAAACGCGTTCCCATAGTTTTTTTTTTTTTTTTTTTTAAATTGCTTTGCTTGAATGTTTCATCTGGATTTTTGCTGGGCCGACTGTTTCTGACCATTATTTCTCACCACATCATGCTGACTAGGGAATAATACATTTAAGATGACTTGGAAAGAATGGTGTAGCTGGGAAACAGGTTTATTGTTGCAGGAGCAGAACATATGTTGGCCTCCTCCCTCTCCTCTCCCCCTTTGCCTTATTCAAACCGCAGGTTTCCAGCCACACCTGCCCCAACACAGAGACCCCTTTTTGATGAAAGAAATGTGATATGCAGAGGTTTTCAAAGCTAGTGTTCTGTTCTATGTATTATTACTTTGACCTTTTCCCAGCACATAACGTAAAAAACCTATATAATTTCAGGTTTGGATAAAATTAGTTAACTTTGAGCAACAGTAGCTTCTTTAGATGCTATGCAGCTTTTGGTTCATGTGCAAATCATATTTTACATAGTACCCGTTTGTTACTTAGTTTATTTTCTTTAGAAATGAGCTATTTCTTAGTACATGAAATTAGAAGACAGTGACTATAAGCAATAGTATATGTGGAACATTTATTTTTGAAATTATGCAGAGCCTTCCAGACGTTTTCATGTCCTTACATTGTCACAAAGTTAATTCCTTTGGCATTTTATTTGGTAGGCCAGCAAGTAAGTCAGGGAGCATCTGACTGAAAGAAATATGGTAAATAACAGTTTTAAAAGATGTAAGGTGTGCTTATATTCACCTCCCTTAACTTTGATACTCTGAAATAAAAACCAGTGCAGACATTTGCCCTCAATAGTGAACTGATTAATAAAATCCATTTGAGATTAATCTATCAGAGGTTTGTTAAAGAGCAATAGTAAACAAACAGAATTATGAAACAGATAATTTAGGGGGAAATATATTAAAAAGAGAAAAGTGCTCTTTTTAATATATTTCTTAATATCTTAATATCACAATTTACACATTTTAATGCAAAAAAGGCAGTCTCGTCAAAAGCTCTGTGTTTTATCTCTCCACAGACCCCTAACAAAGTAAAATTAGACGCACAGACACCCTGCTCCAACAGTGATGTGAAATTAATGTGTGCTAATGTTGAGAAAAACAAATGATCTCTAGACAGAAATGAGCATTTTTCTTGGGATAGTTGTAGATCTAATTTAAACCATAATAAGTGACCTCAGGAGAGACGTCAATCTATTTAAGAAGGAATTTAAGTGGACTACAAAACAGTCCACTTTTATAACCTTTGAGTAGCAAAGCGTGTAAAACAATATACTAATGGTTACATCTACTGCTTCAATTGAAGTAAAGTTGTTTGTTGCTTGGCATGGCATTGTTTGGTGCTTATTAACGAGACATAACGTCAGACTTTGGCCATTTTTAAAGTATAAATTAACACAATCTCTGGGATTGTTGTCTGTTATCACCTGACTGCTGTCTGACAGAAACACACTGTTCTTAGCTCATCTAAGTAGCTAGTAATTAGTTTGGTAACCGAGCACAGCAACTATTAAAATAATCCCACAACAACACTGAGATGGGTTTGATGTCATTCCCAGGTCCTGGTTTTGAATTTAGAGGCTAAACAGAAAGAGCCACCAACATTTATTCCTGGTTCTGTCTTCTTGAATTTATACTAAAAGTTTCTCTAAAACTCTCCACTGCAGCTATTTTTGAGTAGTTTCTGTGTCTAAGCTAAGACAGTTGTAGTAGAACCACCCATATTTTAGTAGCTTTTGCTTATTTGCAGTGTATGATTAATTTTGTAATTCTCTTGTTAATAGTCAGTGCACAAAGTACCACCAAGTTATTATTGGTGAGATATTTTATTACCAGAGATCCAGCAACGGTATTCGTCTAAAAATGCTGAAGCAAAGTGGAGAAACCAAGAGTTTACTGCATGCTTAAACTCTTTAGCCAACAGGAAGAGCTGTAACAGAATATATTGGATGTGTTTAAACACTGAAATGCAATACACTGAGTGGGAATACAAAATAATATCAACAGATGACAGAGTTTGATCCTCATCCCATGTGGCTCCCAGATACAAAGCAGGATGCAACACGATCCATAAGAAAACATACAGAAAGGCAGTTTCTGACAGGGGCTTGATGTGGGAAAACAGGAAATGACCAAATGAAAGAGCAGAGGGAATGTTAAGAAAGGCTGGTGAGAAACAGAAGGATGAAGCCAGGATTGAGGTGTGGTGGTCTTAGCAGGTGTTTCTTGGTCAGAGAGTTTGTTTTTTCAGAAGGAGGAGTGTGTGAGTTCCCTGCTGACTGGTCCGATGCACCAGTACAGGGTTTCTGGCAGTCTGGATCCACGGTTTTATAAAAACACAACACTCCTACATGAACATTTTAAAACTCTCAGGAAGTAGATGCAGAAATGCATGTCAAGTAGCTGCAAAATAACATTTGACTAGGATTAAAGAAAATGAATACAAATCAGGATTGAAGGGAAAAAAGACAAACATTAAAAAATGGAAGTTACTGCAAACTTGCATTGCCATGTAAGACTTTTATTATAGTGAGACGAGGCATGTTACAATTCCTGCAGTTTGCGAGCAATTTCTCTCAGCTAGGTCTTTAAGGAGCAGCAGCCAGAAAAAGGAGATTATTGTTTCACCGGTCTCTTTTCTTTACAGCAATTAGTCAGCAAACGGGCAGAAAGAGGGAAAGGGGGAATATAAGGACAGCTCAGAAGGTTTGAGTATTAAACATTCAGTGTTGCAAAGATAAGAATATTACAAAAAGGTTGCAGCAACCTGGTGCCAAGGAAGTTGAACTGAAGGAAGAAATGTGGAAGGAAAAGGTTAAGCAGAAACAGAAACAACATCTTTTAGAGGATTATCAATAAAAATCCAATCTGTATCTAATCTTTACCAATAAAATAATAACCTGATGAGCGTTAATATCTGGTGATGCTCTCCAGTTAATCTGAGTGATCTTATAGAGACAAATGGGCCAAAAGATCGTTCTCTAGATGTGCAAAAAACACAAATTTTATCAGGTTTATTGGTCTGCAAATATCTTTCTACACTTGAAATAAAATAAAAAAAACAACCTGCAAGTAACTTTTCAGCAAAATATAAGAGCTTATTTTAAGTCAATTATTCCTTAATACTGATGGAAAAATACTAGTTCAGATTATTTCACTTATAACAGGGAAAAAAAGTCATTTATTCCAGTGGAATAAATACTTTTTAAAATCAATATTGAAGAATTGTTGATTTAAACAAGCTCTGTTTTATAAAACGCTGATGATTTCTGAATACCGTAATTTTTGAGGTGTCATCTTCTGAGGCTCATGGCAAATTCTGGTTGGTTCTAACTTCTGGTCTCTCCCATAAAACCCCAATAAAAAAAAATCACAGATCTCTCTGGGTGTAATGTGACAAACTGTTGAAAGCTGCAGTGGTATGAATACTTTTGCAAGGAACCATGATCATTTGTGTGAATGGAGAAAATAAGCTGGAGAGAAATCTGAGACTGCTCCTGATGTGAGTGAAAGCTTGGGGTGGGGCCACGTCTGCGTTCACACCTTACATTCATCCTACAGCATAAAGCATAATGAGATATGTGTGAGATCTGGCATTGATGTATGGATCCTGAGGTAATGAGCTGTGCAGTTTGAAGCTCAGTGTTACGTTTCACTAGAAACCAGGGAGCTTTCTGGAGAGGAAGCCAACAACTCCTGAAAAGCAACTTCTGCTGGAAGTCACAGATGAATGTGATCAGTAAAGCATGAAACTCTTTTGTGTACGGTGCCTGAAAGCACAATGCTTTGTCCAAGACCGACTGTGGAACTGCTTCGGACACTTTTTAACCCCCCCCCCACCCCCTCCAAAACATGTCATCATGCAAGACTTCCACCAGATGGAGCCAAACTCTTTAATAATCAATGGGAGGATTTGATCCAGCGGTTAGAATTAAGCATTGAGGAATAAATAAGTTCATTCAATATGCTGCTCAGTGCGTCTTGAATCTTTTCTCGTTTTGTCACATTACAACCAAAAACCTCAAAATTTGTGTTAAACCACAGATTTTTGCACCTGCTCAACTATAAACTTGCAATATTTTAAATTAAGCAAAGGGGACGTATATTGTAGATCCAATATTTGAAAAGAGTTTTGCCTCAGTAAAAGATAAGCTTTCAGTTCTCAAATGTTTTTGGCTCAATTGACAGGATTTGAGTCACTCCTTATTTGAAAACAGTAGACGATTTGAATAAATTAATTTATTAATTTATGCATATTTGGGTGCATCAAAGACTTCTTTTGAACAAACAAACAAACAAAAAATCACTTCATAGATGCGGTTCTATTTACTGTGACATAAAAAACAAAACAAAACAGGGTTATTAAAAAATGAAAACTCTGGTCTGTAATTAATTTTTTGTTGCAAAAAGTTTGTAATTATTTTCAGTAATTTTGTTCTAATTAAAAATAAAAAGTTTCCATTTAGAACAATGGCCTGTGGTGAGAAATAATAGATTGCATGTTGTTTTAGAAATAAAAAAAAGAAAAACGTCTGTGTTCTGCCCCTTTTTTTTCTGATTTTCATTTGCAAAAACTGTTGCAGATTCAGTTCTACTTCTCCTCTATTTCAGATTGTTGTAATGTAACAAAATGACAATGTGAGCACATTTATAATGCACAGTAAAATCAGATCAGAGTTGATTTGACGAGGCAGAGAAAGTAAAAAGATGCCGATATGTTTCTTCTTTCTTTTATTCTCCCTCATCTTTAATCAAACACTTGGGGGACAAATAGCTTTGTCTCCATCCGCTCTGTCTCTGTCACTCTCGCTGTTCTTTATTTCCTTTTATTAAACTGCTCTCCCTGTCCCTCTCTTTCTTCCTCTCTCTTTCTCTCTCCTTCGCTCCCATAAACCTCTCCACACTGTGACAACAGAGCACAGTGGCATTGGATCTGGCTTTATTCAGAGCACGCGCCTGTCTCCCATCACCCGTGGTCTCCTGATTAGACCAAACCCCCCCCCACCCCACACACACACACACACACACACCACCACTCAGCAGTCACTAGGACTCGCAGCAGCCAGCTGACAGCCATGGAAGCAGCTTTTCCCAGGTAGAGCTGCTCCTCTACCTGGAGACGTGTAAGCCCAATTATCCCACTTGTCCTGGAGGTAGGGGTTACCCGCCGGGTTGCTTCGAGATGCTTAATTTTCCGTTAAGACGGATGGGTTTTAAAAACACAAATATAGTTGCCTCCACCATTAGTTCCCGCAGGAATTCATGCTGTTTACGTCAAATACACTCTAAATGAGCTGGTGGGAGTAATAAAAATAGCAAAAATGGTTTCATTGTTATCCTTAATGCCAGAAAATGGTTCTAAACTTCCTATTTTTCATCAGTTTGATCC